CGGGATGCGCGTGGGGCGAGCGCAGGGTACCTGGGGGGCGGGTGCGGGGCGCGCGGAGGGAGCCAGTCGGTAGCACTTGGCCGGTGGAAATACACCAAAATATTACTTGCAACATTTAGATTCAATCGCTCACCGAACAAACATAGATTCGTCGTGAAACTTCACGCGCCACATTTCCGCCACGAGCAGATGTTGTATTGACTCGTTCTCGGCAGAAATATTATGATTATCTTTAAACAAGGCCAAGTTAAGACATTTACAATTTACAACGACGACAAAAACAAAAATAAAGGAGGCGTTTCTTCTTAATGATTCCTTCGCCGGCCTCGATCGTGAAGGTCGGACGGAATGACCTCGACTAAAGTTTTACGTAGATATGGCTTTCTGCAACTGCATTTAGACACTTTTGTTATAACTTTTTAAGAGTTTGGAATCGGGGCCGTTATGCAGTACATTACGTAGCTACGGGCGGGGTCAACGTTAGGCGCTCGGAGACGAGATAAAATTGCGATACTTTGTAAATAATGGTTTGCGCGCGACGGGTTTTTGTGAGTGGCCATCCCTAACACGTGACATCTGTCCGTAGCGCGGCGCGGCTCTCAGGCTTCCTCCGCGCGCTGGGGCTGCTGTGCGGGGGGCGGGGCGTGCTCCGCGGGCAGGATGCGCGAGGTGTACGCGCGGGAGGCGCGCGACACCGCTACGCCGGCCTGTCTGCGCGAGGTGACCCCGCCTGTGCGCGCCCCGCGCCGCGCCCCCGGCCTCGCGCCCCCGCTCCGCCCCCTGCCGCGTTCTCGGCACCGCCCCGCCCCCCACGCCGCCACCAGAGCGGCGCCCCTCGCCGCCGAGGAGGACTGCGAAATCGCCTACGACGCGGCTCTGGACTGCGATGCGAAGGTGTCAGTCGCGGCGGGAGCCGAGGAGCCGCGGGCTGGCAGTGCGGAGGGGCGCGGGGAGGGGCGCGCGGGGTGGAGCGCGGGGGCGCGCGCCTACGTGACGTTGCCGCGGCGACAGCGCGGCGTGGCGGCGGCGCTGTTCCGGCGAGCGCGCCTGCCGCCGCGGCGCACGACGCCGGACGGCACGGACATCTACTACTGGTGCGAGCTGCCGGCGCGCGCGGTGCACGGTACCCAGCTCTCTCTGTGTTGTGTCTGTTGCAGTGCATGCGCTCTGTGTGCGCCGCTCGGAACTAAGCCTCAATCACTTTGCTCACTGCTTCTTTCTTATTTACTATCCATTTTTATTATTTTAATTCTCTTTGAAATATATATTCATGTTTATATATCTATATACACATTACTAAATTGGAGTGTCTATGCGTAATATCAAAAATAAAAAATTATTCGCAAATATGATAACCTTTACTTTTAAAGAAAACCCATTTTTTTGGGCCTTTCTATTTGTTTGTCACAAGTCCGCGTTTGTCTAGGATAATCTCCGGGATTGGCTCGATTTTGACGGAAAGGAGGAAATGCTTACGGCTATATTATAGGTTCTATATTTTTACGCTTACAAATTCACCGGCAACCGCTACTCTATGTCTAAATCTGTACTCAATGTTTTGTTGAGTGAGGCGGCAGTAGTTGTATGGGAGGGCAGTTTGAGAGGGGTGGTCGTGGTGTGTGTTGCAGAGCTGGACGACGGCGCGTACAACCCGCTGTGGGCGATGCGCGGCTTCACGCAGACCTTCCACCTGTGGAAGGAGGGCAAACGGCAACAGTCGGCGCCGCTCAACGCCTACCTCACCTACGTCACGCTGCCCTGGTGGGCCATCGCCAAAGGTACCGCCACACGTGATCAATGTTTACACAATTGTAAAGTTGTTACAACACAATAACTATAAAGCATTAATTAACGTTTCAGATATCCTAGACCACCGTGAGGAGCCGGTGCTGACGTTCTGAACGCTCGCCCCGCCCCTAGAGGGCGACGCCCCGCCCCCGCAGGGAGACGCCCCGCCCCTGCGGCTGGCGCTACGCCATACGTGTCGTGCTGTGATTTTATTTCAAAAGAGACATTATGTAAGAATAGTACAGCAAGGAAAATAGTACTAGGTCACAAGTCTAAAAAAATAGTCTAGTCAACATAAATCTCTAGTCGTTTGTATTTATTTTTATATAATTTGTAAGTTCCAATAAAATATTTTAAGAATTCAATGCTGCTTGCAATTATTCATGACAAGATGAGAGTTTTTTTTTAAACGTACGTGTGAAAAAGTGTGAGATATTTTTATTTTAGTATTTATATTTGTAATGTATTTGAATGTTTGTAAATGTATTAAAAGTCGTGATAATTGAAGAAACGACATGTTGATGTTGACTTGTTATTGTACAAATATCGACAACATCCAAAAAGAAATGTAACGTATTTTCACAGTTTCTCAATAAAAATGTTTGGGAAGGATCGCTGAGAACAACAATGTGAGAACAAATGTAGGTCACGTGACCACTTACACGTGACCACTGTCACGACGTAGCTGTATCACTTTGTTCAGTTGTATTTTGCGAGTAATGCTTCAAATAGAAATAAACAAATCATCCAGACAGGATGACATTTGAATATGATAGTGAAAAAGTTCTCTTCGCACGTATTTTGTCGGAAATGTATTAAATTATTTCAAATCCATGTATCTAATGTACTCAATATTTTGTTTCTCTAAAAATTCTCTCTTCTTTGTAGAAAGTTTATCTTCTTAAAGTTATGTTAGAATTAATGATTCAATATTATTTTAATGATTTACTATTTACTTGTATAATCAAATCGTCAGATGTGTTCTTACCACAAACACATGACTCTTGTCGCGTCACGTCGCGTCACGTCACGTCGCGTCACGACACGTCACGTCGCGTCACGACATGTCACGTCACGTCACAAGGAATTTATTGTAACAGATCCAGAACCTCAGCACTGTGATGTGTGCGGGGAAACGACCGAGCGGTTGTGTGTGTGTGTGTGTGTGTGTGACTGCCACCAGTGCCATATGTTCTACGACACAAAGCTCCGGGAGTTGTAGAGTAGTACATGACCAGGAGCTATTATTGTATTCCTTGTAATTATCATTTGCTGACAATCTTTTTTTGTAATAAATATCAATTGTGAACCAGAAGTTCATTTAATAAAATTATGTTAAGTTTGTATTCCACAATCATATTATAAAATATATAATACATTAAATATAAATATTGATATTATATTGGCAAAATGAATCTGCTTTTTTTCTGTGGAACTCAATAATCTAACTTTATCCAGATTCTTACTTATAGAGTGTAGCATTTGTTCGTTTTCATGAAAATTTACTGAACACCGCAATACAAATACTTTAGTTTAGAGAGCAATCGATTCATTGTAATGTTCCCAACATTACAGCGTTCATTAAAATTATCTTGATTTGAATATTTTGTTTTGTTTTTGTTGGCTGCGAGACCCTCTTGTCCCGTGTCGTCTCTGTAGCCGTGCCTGTAGCCTGTAGCGCCTCGTGCACAGGCTACAGGCAGGACAACGACGAAATCATATTTGTGTGAATCTGTTTGTTTTGGTGATTGAATTAAATTAATGCAATTTATATCTATGGTTTCATTTAACAGTTAATAAGTCTTCCTTTTTCCATTGTTCACTTATACTACTACTTCAATACATTTATCAAATATATAATTGAAATGTAAGGCAACCCGTTGGGCCGATTGCCTCAATGAGTCCAGAAACCAAAAGTCCCATAGATCTATTGATCGGTAGTAAGTTAAGCTGCACCAGCAGAAGTCGGTAGCTAGGGGCGTCAGCGGGGGAGGGGGGCACGGGGCGCGAACAGAACACAGTTCTCTTTTATAAGAGAACGTGAAATTACGCAATTAGTATTTAAGTCGTGAGACAGACTGAGGTGGTGTTACGTATACTTTATGACGTCATCGTGGACCGGCCAGCTGCCTCTCTCCTACCTAATCCACTATCGCTCTACAGCTATCATCTATTTAATTTTAATGAGACTCCGACAGCGGAGAGATGTTGAAAACTTATGAGATAATAGCCTCGCCTCGGCTCGTCCTTTGCTTAAATAAACACGTGTTCACACTGGACAATTTCTACGAAACATCTCTGCAAAACATATATGTATATACATATATTCTTATAACAATATGTTTTTTACCGGAGAGTATCGCCAGTGGATACCGATTACACCGACCTGTACCTATGTGCAATTTGCAATTGTTGTTAATAAGGTGGGATATGTATTGTCGTACTATTTAAGTGTTCTTAGAGGAGAAAAATTGAAGAATATTGAAAATACAGAGGAAAGTTGCTTCTGTCTCACAATCAATATGTATTACCGTTGTAATAAGTATGTTGTGACCGTAAGCTAAGCGGGCTGGGGCCGCGTGGGCCCGGCACGCGGCGGCGGCGGCGGCGGCGGCGGCGGCGGCACGCGAGGGCCCGGAAGCATCACTTGAGCGGCTGATGTCGCCTGTCGTCTACTCAGTGCTCATTACCGCGCCTTGCGTCGCAAGGTGAGTCTCTATCAGATAATCAGAGGATTACCCTGTTACTGGTATATTTTCTGCCCGGCTACGGTGGTATTAAGGTCTGCTTTTTATAAAGTGTGTGGATATAAAGAAAATACATACGCATAGTCGGAGAGGTTCGCAGGCTTTGTCCCATTTCATTACATTGAAATAATTGGCAAGTGTGTCGGAATATTTTGTCAAATCTGGTAACGAGTCCAGCAGGGCAGAGGGCGCGCGAGTCGTGACCCCTTATCTCGTGGCTCGCCTCCTCCGCCCCGGCGCCGCGGCCCGCGCCTCTCGCCGCCCGCCCGCTGCGCACTCCTGATTCTGACATACGACGCTGACGGTCGGTGAGTTCATTATAAATTAGATTTATTACATAAAATTTTTAATACATTAATTACCAGTTACTGTGTAATGTACTCAGCTTTAAAGCTGCTGCGTTGCGACCATATTTAAATGTTAAATTTAACGTAACATATTTGTTTTTCTCTTTTGAAATGATAAAAAATCTAGTAAAAAATTTAGGCCATGTCACCCGGGAATATTGTAGCTTCCTAACAGACAAAGAATTTTTCAAATCAGTTCAGTAGTTAGAACAATCAAATCGTTGCTTTTTATAAAATTAGTATAGATTCGTATTTGTGTAATTATCGATATATAAGTCTTCTCCAATTCAGTTTCATAAATCCTATCTATATTCTGTTCTGCCACCGAATAAACCAAATGAACATTTTCAATGTGTTGTGTGACGTCATTCTAAAACAATGGTGAGACTTGAGCGGGAAGGAGCCGACGTAAACTGTCTTAATTATAATTACAACAGGATAGGTAGGAACTGCATTGCTATAGACGAGGCCCGGACTAGGCCTCCTGCTCACAACCCCTGGCCCCGTTACAACTTTGCGACTTTTTTTGTTTTCTTTTCTCACTTCCTTGGAACATTTTCTGCTGATGCACAAGATATTCTTAATGTCCGTAGCTGTCCCGCAACTCCGTAGCACCGCTAGTTCATCATCACCGGCTCTTTGCTCTTTGCAACTTTGAAACACGGATTTCAATAAATCCTGTCAGATCCTATTCCAGGAATACACATTTAATTTGAACGTCTATCTTTACAGTATGACCGCGTGAGAAAATGATCTCGTGGTGCGTGTTACTGGCGCTGGCAACGTGCGCGGCAGGCGCGGCGGGCGCGGCGGGCACTGAGGTCGCGGTAGGCTGCGAGCTGGCGCCGCGCGAGGCCGCCGTAGACAAATCCCCGGGTGACAACCATTATCGGTTGTTGCTCAGCGAGGACACGGAGCGCTACGCCCCCGGACAAAGATACGTCGGTACGCTCGCACTACATAACATCCTCGTTCACTCATTTTTTTGTTTGTACTTATTGAAGTTACAGGAATACAACTATGTATAATGAAACATACAATTTCATAATATTTACAGATTTAAATAAATTTCAATAGACAAACAAGCCTTATATTGAAATGAATTTTTGCCTGTGTCTGGTTGTGGTTGGTGTATCTGCGGCGATAATGAGTTGCGTTCATTGCCGCTCCTGACATGCGATAAGCCGCTTCCGAAAAACACAACGTTTATTTGTCAGCTCTCCATGCATACTTTGTTAGTTTGTTACATTTCAATTTATTACATATAGCTGCTGCTAATCCTAGCTCATTTATTAATGATCGATTAATATTTAAAAAATATGTGTTATATGGTCAGTGACGCTAGTGGGGTCGCGCACGCACGATGTGGTGCAGCAGTTCACGCGGTTCCAGCTGGTGGTGGAGCCGCAGGACGGCGCCGCCCCGCGCTCGCTGCGCCGCCAGGGACAGTTCCAGCTGTTCGCTGATACTCTCACCCGCTTCGACGAGGAGTGCGTTAACTCGGTACTGGAGGCCGACGATCTGCCCAAGACCGAGGTCCAGGTCATGTGGAAGGCGCCCGAGGCCGGCTCCGGATGCGTGCTCCTTAAGTAAGTTAATCTCAGGCAGGATATCGTGCATCGTGTCTCACCCGTAAATCGCATAACAGGACGTATAACTTGGAGAAACGTTGAAGTAATGGCTGATTTGATGACAATGCTTGTTGTGTAGGGCCATGGTATACGAGAACGCGAGCCGGTGGTTTGCGGAGGACGGGCAGCTGACGCGACGCGTGTGCGAGGACACCGCACTCGCTGCGCCCGACTGCTGCGCCTGCGACGACGCCAAATACAAGGTTCCCGCTACATTCGCTACAGTCGCGCTCTACTCCACACCGCTCGCATCCCTTACCGACCGCTTATAAACGCGACGTTTTATTTTGCTCGCTTTTCTTACGAAAACGTTGTAATGTAGTATATAATTGTTGCGTTGCCAGATGGTGTTCGAGGGACTGTGGTCACCGCAGACGCACCCCAAAGACTTCCCCGTTCAGGCCATGTGGTTGACGCACTTCTCCGACGTGATCGGCGCCACTCACCCGCGCAACTTTTCGTTCTGGGGAGAGGGGCAGATCGCGTCCGATGGGTTCAGGTCTCTGGCGGAGTGGGGCTCGGTGGGGCTGCTGGAGCGCGAGCTGCGCCAGCGCGGGCGGTTGCTGCGCTCCGTGGTGAAGGCACAGGGACTGTGGCACCCGCGCGTCAACGCCAACACCTCCGCAGTCTTCACCGTGGACAGGACGCGCCACCATCTCTCCCTCGCCTCCATGTTCGGTACTCCTCCGACTTCTGTATTACGTCTCATCACATCAATATATATGCACATAATACCACTTCAAGATATGGAAATATAAATATTTTAGTGTTTCTATTTGTTGTTCTTTGTTCTGTTAAACCGGAAACGGCCATTCAAATCATTTGTTGATCACCCACAGGCCCCTCCCCCGACTGGGTGGTGGGCGTGAGCGGGCTGGAGCTGTGCAACAGAGACTGCAGCTGGGCGGAGAGCAAGACCATCGACCTGTTCCCCTACGACGCCGGCACCGACAACGGCATCTCCTACATGGTGACGAAACTGCTGCCTACTTGTTTAGTCTCTTTGCACCACATTTTTTCTGACGTCCTTTTTGTAATTTATCAATTGACAATATTTCACTATTTCATCGGTGTTACGAATGATTTGATGAAAGCCATCAAGTAAATAATGATGGATAATTAAACATTATGCTCTGTCACTTCACGCAGTCGGCGAACTCTGAAACGATTCCCCGCGAGAAGATGTACCGCATCACAACGATGTACCCGGAGGACCCGCGCGCGCCCTTCTACAACCCCGGGGGCGAGCTGCGGCCCATGGCGCGCCTCTACCTCACGCGGGAGAGCCTGCTGCCGCGCGGCTGCGACGAGGACACGCTGCAGGCCCTGGTGGTCGAGGAGGCCGAGAACACGCAGGCGGTCAATCGCCGTTAGTACAAAAAAATGATCTTATTGTTTTCTAGGTTACCGATGTTTTGATTTTTATTTGACGTGTTGTCTGGTGTGTCCTCGCAGCGGAGTGCGGCGTGACGGAGTGGAGCGCGTGGTCAGCGTGCTCGGTGTCGTGCGGCAAGGGGCTGCGCATGCGCACGCGCGACTACCGCATGCCGCAGAAGGCCGCCATGTTTGCCTGCGACCGGCAGCTCGTCTCCAAGGAGATGTGCGTCGCCGACGTGCCCGAGTGCCCGTGAGTACAATACTGTGCTATTTAGTATTCATATGATTTATGTACTTTTAGACAGTATTAGTTTGAAACCTTTGGCGCGAATGATGCGCTTTCGTTACAGTTCAGTTTCGTTAAGTGTCAGAATGAATTGTGAGGACATAAACGTCGACATTTTAGTAAGGCTAGTGTTGAGTCAATACACTGGCTCGTTTTCGTATTTTCTTCCTAACAGTATATATATTTTATTATATGTTACTAAAATTGATCAGCGAGAGCGGCGCGGCGGACACGGAGGTGGAGGCGGAGGCGGAGGCGGAGGCGGTCGGAGTGCCGGAGGGCGCATGCCGCACGACGGAGTGGGGCCCGTGGAGCGAGTGCTCGGTGACGTGCGGTATCGGCATCAGCACGCGCCGCCGCACCTTCCTCGACCACATGGGCTT